TTCCTGGGCCAAAGCACAACTGTCCAAATCAAAGTCCAAGGACACCCTGCTTCCCAGGCTAAATTAAAACTCAGAGGGAAGAAAGGACTATGATGAATCAATGATATGCTTTCTCTAAAGATTCTTAAAAATGATCCAATCTCAAACGCTAAAAGTTACTGGTTTTGTTTAAGGAGTATCTTAGATTGATACCTTAAATGGAAGTTCTTTGAAGACTCTACAGCTGACAGTAGGTCACCTGAATTGTTCTGGGAAACTATAGCACTGCAGAATTAACTCACGATTTTAAAGTACATTTATCCCCTTGAGTCATAGCGGGCAAACAGAACCGTTACTTGACTTTTTACCTCACTCACAGATTTGTCTCCAGTGGGAATGGATGCCCTTCAAGGATTATGTAGCACACAATCTTGAGGCTAAGACCGCCTTCTCCATGCATTAGTGATCATGGGTTTGAAGAAATAAAATTATATCCAGAGATAAGTTGACAAGAAAGAGGAGAAAGAGGAGAAAGAGGAACTGTTACTAGGTCATGAGAGTATACCTAAGACAATATGCTTTTTAAATGTTCTTCTAGTCCCTTATTGGGAAGACGAAGTACAATTTTTGTATGCTGTATCTTCATTTTTATACATCTCACAGAAAGAAACTGAAATTCCAAGTCAACCCCAAAGTTCCCAGAGAGTTGTTGATTCTTAAATATCTACGATGCATGGCCCAGAGAGGTGGAGAGTAATTTCCTTGTACACTCAGTACCCTGTGAAACCAATCTTTCCTTTGGAAAAGATGGACCTTGGAAAGCTAACCTAGCTGAACAATCAAAATATATTTGCTTCAAGAAATAACAGTGGAAGGAAGCCCTGAGTGAGAATAATTTAAAAAAAAACGGATACAACTCTACCAATGATGTTGACAAATCACTCCGAATGCATGTCTGAAAACATGTGATTTGTACTTTGATAAGCTAGGAGTAAAAGAATGCACTGGGCAGCTCATACTCCGTGTGGGGGAAGCAATCACTCTCCTTAAGACATCCTTATAGTTTCAAAGGTAGAAAGCCCCTCAGCATCCACACTCACAGAATTCAGGGAAATTTTCAGCCTCTGTGGCTGCTGAAATTTGGTAGAAAGGTATTTAGGCTAGATTTTTTGGGGAGTGTTAATTTTGCATTTTACTAGCCAAATGCCATCACGTTTCACACACAGCTCAGCAGTTCAAGGAAACAGCGGAATCAATGTTTAGTAAAGGAGGAGACAGACTGCAGCTTTTCCAATTATACTTAAAAGAGAATTTAACCTAGAAAGTTACCTGAGCAAAGATGGACTGTAGAATGATCATCTACCACAGTCATATCAAAATTGAGATTAAGCCAGTCTTCCCAAGATCTAGCACTTCAAAAATGTAATGTGCAGTGGAGTTTATGTGAGTTGTTAGCCAAGAGAACCACTATATCAGGAAAGGAAGGCTAAGAGAGGAAAGATCTATGTCACTGGTTTTCAGCAAGTTGGCTAGGAAAGTGGCTGGCCTGGTGGAGGAGGGAGTAGGAATGAGACCGACAGAATTCCTTTGTGGAATGCTCACTTTCCTAATGAGGCTTGATCTGTGTCCCTAACAAATTCTTTGTTACCAGAAACCACATGGTGGTTTGAGAGAGTTAACTCCCAATTTAATATCTGCACTTCCAGGAGAGTTGCTAACTATACATGTTTCTGAAATTCTAACCTTATATCACAATGTTGGTTAAAGGTCTTGGAACAAACAAGGCTACTGAATTGGCTTTGGGTTGGACATGTTAAAACTCTATTAAAATCACTGCTTTCCTTCAAAGTGTTGATCTGGGAGGGTTTGGTAGATTGCCACTTCTTTGGAAGGGCCATGCAGAACTGTGAAACAAGAAATTCAGTGTCTCTAACAATCTGTCAACAGCTGATGGACAGGCAGAGATGGCACAAAAGGAGCCTCTTGCTCACGTACCGATGTGCATCTGAGCCTGGTTAGGCCTGGAATCAATTTTCAATGGAGTTAGAAATAACGATAAGTAAACCTAAAGGAGAAAGATCTATGGAGTCCCGTTTCTCCAAGCCAGTTTTATATCAGCAACAGTTTTGAGATCTCTCTTAAAGGAAATATATCCAGCAAGCTGCTTGCACATTTAAAAGATTAAAAACTGTCAACTCTTCCCAGATCCTATCAGTTAGTTTGACCTGTGTAAAAGACGTCTTTATGAGGACAAAGTGACAAATATGACTTAAGTTTTTTCTTCATTCAAGCTTCTCTCTTTAGAGGCAGGGTCCCAAGAGTTGAACAGGGCATATATGAAATATGGTACCTGTGGTCTTCTGGATGTGCCAATCAAAACAAACAAACAAAAAACAACATATTGTAAGGGCTCTCTAATGATTGAGTACTTCTCTCACTGCATCAAACCATGTCTCCTGCGTGACTGCTCTTAATTGCTGGGCTCAGGCTGAGTCCTCAAGCAGGCACTAAGCATGCTTCCCTTGTCTGCATCCATCAGTCATCACAGCGCTTCACATTCTTACGTGCTTAGTTAGGATTCCTATGACATTGGACTTCATGGTCTGTCCATCTTCTTGTAATTCATGAACAGATACACTGACATGTAGATTATACCAAATCTGCAGAAACCTTCCCTTTTCCCACCCACCTCTTAGCTGTTACTATTTTTTTCCTTCTGATTTGAGTGGACAGGATCAAAGAAAAATGAAGCTCACATCCAGTAGATACCTCTTGCTAGAACCTTCTTTTAGAAAGAAAATTGAATATTACATCTTTGGATCAGATATTTCCTGGGGGAAGACTATATCTGAACTTTTGCCCTCCTTTTGCTACATGAAGTCCAAAACTGGTTTTTATTTTGTTTTTAAGAATGAGTGAGAAGTACTGCAAAAATGAACTGATTCAGGATGTCAGGGAAGAGGTTGCTCCGCCAAAGTCATGGTCTCGTTTCTGGGGACGATGGTCTGCAGGTTTGCACTGCGAACTTGCTGCTAACTCCCCTTCGCACACTGATGTGGTTTAGTCTGTTGTGCTACTGTATGCAATGATTCACAGCACCGACAGGAGCATGCAAATGAGAACATTTCACTTGGAAGAATGCAAAAGTATAACTAAAACAACAACAATATTAATAACCCTTCACTGTTGCAGGCAGCATAATTTATTGGAAGATGTGCAATCCCAGGCTAAGAGGCAGATCTTCGCCTAAAGAGTTCTTCTGCCATTTTCTGTGTGGCCTTTGGAGAAACTGTATCAATATTTCTTTATCTTGCTAGAATATTAAATATTCCAACTTGTTTAATTTCTTCCCTCCATTTTTCTGTACTCTCCACCACAAGCATAAGAGGTTTTCATCCAGGAAATGTTCTTTATGGTGTGTATGAAATAAGGAGATGTCTGAAGCAGGCGCAGAGGGTTTGAGCTTCTTTTTACCGGAAGCCCAGCACCCACCCATTTTGACGCACAATTCCTCAACCATGTTGGCAATTTGTTTTGGCTAGAACATTTTTTTAAAGGTGTAATAGCACCAATGTGTTTCTTTTTCCTACTTTCTAGATTTCAGAATTTCTTTTTCTATAATTTCCAGATAGTTGCAGTGAGGGTGTAAAACGGCATCAGAGAAGTCAATGTAAGGATTGAAAAGGCAATTGTTGGGCAGGGGGACTGTCAGCTGGGGCCCCCAGATCTCAACCACCATACATACCGTGCTGCTTGGCTACACTTTTCTCTACTTCTTTCACAATCAACTGCCTCTTCTCACATAAAAACCCAAATAGCACACTTTTTGATTTTATGACACCTCATAAGCCTGAATTTTTTTTAACACAATACTTCAATGTAACTCAGGATGTCATTGTGTGCTCAAGGATTATTGCATTTCTCTTGCAAGAATCTGAAGTGCCATCAACTGCACCCTCAAATGTGGTGAGTTTTTGTGGGTAAGAGGCAGAGTTATTCATGCACTCAGGTTTTCTTTGGGTTTCATTAGTAATAAGTCAGGTGTAACTGACTGGTTAAACTCAGCATAGCAATCCTGCCACCCTTCTGTCTAGAACAGCTACTCAAACCCTAATTGCCTCAAGTTGTGAACTTTACTCCACCACAAGCTTTGGCATACCTGTCCCACGTAATGCAGTTGCAACCCCCATTTTAGACAGATCATTTGAAAGGCCTACACATTGTTTTAGGTTGACTATCATGAACGCATTTTCATTATTTGTACTGAACATGAAAAACTAATGTCGTATCAATACTAGGGTGCCATTTGTAGGACACAGCCAGGAGACACAATGCAGGATTTAAAATTAGAGATTTTGCCATTGTGCCATAAAACACTGATAGTTCTGACTGGTATTATGAAATCACTGGGTTTCTCCAAGACAGTTAAATCTTACTCACTGGAAACATATTTTACTGTAGAATTTTCATATTCACTCTGCTGAAATTCAAAGTAGGTTATGTTTATCTCCCTCTCAAATGTTTCTACCTCCTTAGTGTTTAACTCTGTTAAGAGGGTTCCTAGAGTTCTGTGGCCACAGCAATGGTCCTGCCTATCTTCAGGGATTTCTCATGCGCATTCTACTTTGAGAACTGAAGTGGACCACAATGGCCCCCCTGAAAACCTCTGGCTGTTCCCTCATTTCAAATGTATAAGGATTTAGAGAGATCTGGTCCTAACATTCACCTTACTGAACCAGAGCTGATTTCTGTGGCATGGGTAAAACTGCCATTTTTTCTTCCCTACAATACTAGAAGAGACTTTCTGGAGTACAGCATGGCTGCATTTGTTTTTAAGTGATGAATTCCCTTGGTTTTCTTCACAGTTAAATGAAAATGACAAACCAAGTAAGAAAGCAACTCCAAGCCTTCTTAGTCATGTAAGTTTTTGATTGACAGTTCTAATTTGCTTCTTGCACCTTTGAGTTTGAAAAATCTAACCACGTGGCCATTGTCTTTTTCTTCAGAACCATTAGGAAAGGCAGTTAGCACCTGCATGGATATGGCTTCTGCGGCTTGATTTGATCCTGACCATGCACTCTTGTTTCTCGAGGCTGTAGTTGTATTAGGATGTAGTGCTGCCTTCAGTACTTGAATCTATCCCAGGAGTGTCCCTGAGGTGGCTGAGGATGGTCTGGCACATTCTGGACAGACACTCAGGCACCTGGCAAGTTTAGAAGCTCTGGGAAGATACGGGGGCAAACTGTGGGCTGCACATGTCGGGGACGTGGGGAGTCAGAATTCCCATTCATGTCCACACTGTCCCATCTAAACACGACTGTCATTGATTTTATTATCATTCCATCATTCTTTTTCTTCTCTCACAAGACAGATTCAGAGAATACTCACTTAAAAAGACAAAAAGAAGCCAGAGAGACCCAAAGGGGTCCTTTCTGTGATTCAAGGACCAGGACCAGAAAAAGTTGTGTATGCATAATATTCCTTGCCAGCTTATTACTAATATGATCACCTTGTTTTATGTTGATGAAAAGAACTTTTCTTCTGCCCTTCAGATGTTCAGTTGACATCAAAAAACCTCTGTGTCACCTTACTTCACATGCCTATCACCGAAGGTCACGGTAAAAGGCCGTTGCTCTCCTTTCTGGAAGCTAGCCCACAGCCACAGACCGTGATGCAGAATGTGTCCGCCTGTCAACATTCTGTCCCTTGTTTACAAGTGTAATCGCCAGGGGTGGTTGCTGCACGGTGGCCTGTCTAAGCAGGTCCACTGACACTCAAGCTGTCCTTGCTCTTGTCTCACAGTTTCTTCCAGGAGTTTGGGTGCAGAATCTTGGATGACTCAAGGAACCACAGTGAGCTGATAGAAAAATTGAAGGAGACTCTCCTAATAGCTGATGACAATAACTTGTATCATAATTTTTTTTTCCCGGGATGAAGTTTATGGCTACTGATTCCCTCTCCACCCACATACAAGTCTTTTTTCTCTCCTTTCTGCTATATAAACAATTCAGTCCCCCCAGTCTGAGAACACATATTCTTGAGCCTCTTCAAAAACAATGTGGGTAAATTTCAACATTTTTGATGAGAAAGATGCTGTAGAATCTTGTGGTAGTTGGGTCAACATTAGGACCAGTAACTGAAAGAGCACTGTATGAAGATGGAGCTTAAATATGTCATAAAAGATCTCTCTACTGCATTGGAACAAGGTCACATGTATAGGTCTTGAGTTTGACAGCTTGAACTCTCAACTTTCAAAAGCATTCAGAAAATCTTATTATTTCGTCAGGTCTTATAATGGAGTGGACTTTGGATCTCTATAAGCAACAGTTGTCAAATACCCATGAAATATTTCCTTCAGTAGCTTTTTTCACTGTTTCTGTGGCTTCATAAAGAACTTCATAAAGAAGGCACAGAATGCTCTGTGCAGTAGACCTTAGAAAGTGACGAGCAAAACCCACAGCTAGGAGAAGATGTTCCAACAACCTCCTCAGCCCCAGGGTCAGAAAGAAACATGCAAACTACAACTCCACTGTTACTGTTTTTCATGCAGCTCCACCTTAGTTGGCGGTCACACTGGCTTCCTTCTGACGCAGTCTTTCTTTCTGTTAAGAAGAAAAAAATGAACTTATTGTTTATTTTTGTTTTTCTCAAATTTTCCTCTAGAAATCTGAGTAGGATTACACCAAACACCCTAGAAATGGGAATATCTCAATCCCTCTTTCCTTAAGTGGTTATTTGTCCCATCAAAGCACACTCACCAAACACCAAACAGATAAGAATCACATCGGAGGCAGAAATTTGGTCTTGTGGCTGTCACCAGCTAAAATGCCTTCACCTTATATCTGAAGTGCCTGAGTTCAATTCTTGGATCCAGTTCCTGACTCCAGTTTACCGTTAATTCAGATTGTGTGAGGCAGTGATTGGGCTCCTGCTTCCTATGCAAGAGACCTGAACTAAGTTCCTAGATCCTGCCTTTGACCTCTTACCCATTGTGGCCATTTGGGGAAGTGAACCAGTTGATGGGCATTCTCTCTGAGTACCTCTCTGCCTCTTAAATTAATGCAAATAATTTTTAAATAGAACAACTACCCAATTGCATCTATCTCGAACGCCAATTTTTACCATGCCAGGTTGGTCTGCTCTGTTCTCTTTGTGACAACAACACTGATTTTGTAGTAAATTCTAGGGCTCTTTCCATTCCTACACACTGATGAAATTGGGTAATGCTCAAGTAGTAATTTTCAGGGATCAGAGACACGAGAACGAGAAAAAAACAATAAAAGAATCAGGAGTGGGTGTTTGTGTATGAGTTGCTAGTTGGAATGTTCACACATTTTGGAGAACCGGGGTGCTCCATTTCCAATTATCTTTTTGCCAGTGTTCATGCTGGGAGGCAGCAGGTAATGGCTTTAGTAAAAATGTCTTGCCACCTACATGGGAGATCTGGATGAAGTTTCTGGCTTCCTCGCTTTGGTCTGGCTAAGTTGTGGTTGTTGTAGTCATCTAAAGAGTAAATGGGAAAAGATTTATATATATATGTATATATATATGCATATATACATATACATACATATATATGTATACAGGTACATATATATACATTTATATATATATAAAACAAAAAGCAAATGGTACTTAGGTGGGAACAGATAGTTCAGATACTACTTTTAATCTATGAGCTTTATGCCTTAAATTTGGACATACTTTTGGTACATCTCTGTTGCAATGAAATATTTATAATAAAAACTCTGGAGGTTATAAAGCACATCTCACCAGACTAGCAGTGGGGTTGATTTTCTTCGTCTCTACTTTCTTCTCTGATGTCAACTTGCTGACAGATGCCTGAGCCACTTTCAATCTAAAATAGAAACATGGAGTGGGGAGGGGAGAGAGGGAGAAGGGGGCAAAGGGAAGACAAAAGGGAAGAGGTCCGATTACACAAAATCTGCATAATTTAGGAATAACCAATCAGCAGCTAAAAAACATGGAACGCCTTTTCAATGCTTCTTTCTCATTATTAAACTCTAATTAGGTATAAAAGCTTCTCTTATGCCTTATCAAAGTGAAGGGGTTTTTTTTTTCTTAAAGGAATAAAGTACTTTATTTTAAAAATTCAAATTTGTTTCAGATGAAATCTGTTGTGCATTTACTAAAAACACCCACAGAGTGCTAGGAACTGCACATGACATGAAAACACCAATTCATGCTCGTTTAGAATAAATCCATTGTTCTGTTGCAGTCATATTTGCATAAAGTTGACATCTTCACTGCAATGTCATAAAATGACCATGTCTTTAAGACTTGCTCAGAAACAAGTTTCCAATCCATAGCAGTAGATTAAAAGCACTTACACAGAAGTCAGCAGAGGATGTCTGTCCAGCACCACATCTAATACCCTCTTCCTTGGAAACCACCACCCCCTCCTTCCTCTTCTGAAGCCCCCCAACTCCACATTTTCTTCCCCTCTAAAGGCCCCCGCCTCTGCCACCTCTGTCTCTTTCTCCTCCTCAGCTTCCCCTGCCACAGACTTTTGGAGGTCTTTTCACACCTGGAGGTCAAGGTAAAAATCTTTGCAGCAGCAGTAGCTTATAAGATTCTATATTTTAAAAACGGCTCTAATTTTTAAAAGGAAGGTGCTTTCACATTTTGTGAAAATTTGTTTGAAAAATAGAAGTCTCTAAGTTGTCCAAATAGTTCCTCCACTTTTATAATTTGTTCTTTGTGTTCTAAATAAAACAGGAATGTTGAAATAAGGGTCTTATTTTCATCTGGGCTACATTTACAAACTCTGTCCTCTTCACAAGGATGCTAATACTCTCTTCCCCAGAAGGTAGCCACTTCTTCAGGCCTCATATCCTCCTTTCCTCTCTCCCTCCTGCAGCTGAGTTCCATGCCCAGAAGTCTCAGAACCACCTAGCCAAGAAGCTCACCTAGACAGCTTGGGGAAGTTCTATTTTTGTGAGCAGTGCAGTAGATTTTGATGAATGATACGCTATGACCATGCCAATGCTCTTTGGCTTGTGATCCCCTCAACAGATAATATTAACACAACTTTGAAATTTGACATTTTTGCCAAAGCATGTTAACATCTACACATGTTAAACTTTACCAATTTACATCAGTTAAATATAAAGGTAACCGAAGAGTGTAAAAAAAAACCAGAATCTGAGAATCACTTATCTGATAAAACTTGCATGTCAAACATGAAGAACTCTTACAATTTAAATAAGAAGACAAATTAGACACCCCAACCCTCAAGTGGGCCAATGATGTGGCTATACCTTTCTCCAAGGATGCAATACAAATGGTTAAGAAGCCTATGAGAATATGCTTAGCTTCATTTATATTGACAGTGTAAAGTGAACACATGCTGAGACACATATTCACATTCACTATTACGGCTAACATAAAAATAACAATGCCATGCCAAGTACAGGTGGGGAAACCGGAAGCTTTACACTTTACTTGTGGGATGAAAGAATAATGTAGTCATTTTGGAAAATAGCTTGGCAGTTTCTCAAAAAGTTAAACCCAGAGTTACCATATGACCCAGAAATTATAAAGCTATGAAAATGCTTTGGAAAGTCATACATAATGGAATTAAAAGATGTTTACTTTGATAAGATACATTTTGAAATCTATACACAAGATTCTTCCATAAGTTTACAGAAAATGCATATCATGAAAATTTATTAATAGGTTTCAAAATTTTTTGCACCAAAATAAACTTTTTCAATATTTCCATGAACATTCTTTTGTGTTCTTATATGTGCATAACCAATAAAACTGAAAACATGTCCAAAGATCTCATAAGAATGCATACAGTAATATCCCTCATCATAGGCGCAAGCAGAATCAAACCAAATTTCTACCAACTGATCGATAAATAAACAAAATGTGATATATCCACATGACAGAATACAATTGGGTCCTAAAAAGGAATGAAACAATGATATCTACAATATGAACTCTGTTCTCTGTCACCAAACATGCTAGATTATAAACACTGGGAAAAAGCAGAGTGACTGCTAATGGGTAAAGGATTGCTTCTAAAATTAGTGCTGTTGGTTGAATATTATTGCAAATATTCCAAAAACCAATGGACCCTGCACTTGAAAAAGATTTATCTGAAAGTGAGAGTTAGAGAGAGAGAGAAAAAAAGATCCAATTAATTAGTTTACTACTTAGAGGGCTGCAATGGCCAGGATGGGACTAGCCTAAAGTCAGGAGCCAGAGGTTTATTTGTCACTCCTACGCACTTGGGCCATTCTCTGCTGCTTTCACGGGCTCATCAGCAGGGAGATGGGTTGGAAATGGACAACTAGTTAATGAACTGGTGGCCTTATGGGATGTGGCTTTCCAGGTGGTCTTGACCTCCTGTGCCACAAGTCAGTCCAGGACTGTACACTCTAAATGGATGAATTGTAGAGTATGCAAATTACATCTCAACAAAGATTTTACAAATTTTATCATTTCAACAGCATATTTATTACACTTCAGGTTGGTAAGTCTAATAGACATTGTCACTGTTAAGGACTGTGGCAAAATGGGAACTGAAACATGCATACCAGCATGTGTAAACTGGAATGGCTGGTTTCGGCAATGTTGAATAAAACTGAACACACAAATACTCCATGAACTTTCAATTCTTCCTATATGGAAACAACTGAACCTTGACACAAAGACACAGGGCTTCACTGTTGTAATACTACCACGTGCAGTAGTGAAAAACTGGAAACAACTTAATAATTGGATTCAGTATGGTAACAGATTATACACATGACTATCACAAGTAACAACTCACTCACTGGGTGCTTACTAAGTGATAGGTACTCTTCTACAATCTTGATTTGAACCAAGTCATGTCATTCTTACAATGATCATGTGATACGGAAACTTCATTATTCTCATTTTACAGGTCTCCACATGTCTGCGTAACAGAATGAACCTGGTCTATGAATCCAGCATGGCAGATATGACAAACATAAACTGAGAGAACAGACTCCTACAGAGCGATGCAATGAACAGGTGATCCAGCATGATAGTCAGCTTGAAGAGCTCAATTGTGGAGTCTCAGCCCCGTCACTTATTTGTGTGCATCTGTACAACGACCTTTCTGTAGACAAGATGTCTTAAAAATGTGTAATAACGTAAAAGTTCCTGTTCCACAAGATTATTCCAAGGATTGAGGCAGTGTAGTTCCAAGTACGTGATAATCGCTTGATAAACGCAAGCTATTATTCTTACTGCATATGTAGTAGCTACATTGTATATTTTTTTTTTAAAAAAGTAATGGTGTTTTTAAATTTTTTTCAGTGCACTAGGCTACTGCATTGGGCTCCACAGAATAACATTGTTCAGAAATGCGTGGATGTGTTTGAAACATATAAACACCTATCTATTTATGGATACAAACACACAGAAACACAGAGAATTATTCAAAATTTCCTGGACAAATATAATTTCATGCAAGAGGTTCATGCTAGAAAGATGGGAAAAAGAGTGTGACTGTGGTAACACAGTAAATAGAACTTCATTTTAAACATGTTTCTTTATTTAAAAAAATCTTAAAGAATATGTGATAACGTATTAAACAGTTGTAATTCCAGGTCATAGGAACATGGGTGTGTTGTGTTACTCTTTGTATTCCTCTTTTAGAAACTTTTTAAAAAGACTTTTAAAATTTTTTATTGGAAAGTCAGATACACAGAGAGGAGAGACAGAGAGGAAAATCTTTTGTCCGATGATTCACTCCCCAAGTGACATCAACTGCCAGAGCTGAGCTGATCCAAAGCCAGGAGCCTGGAACTTCCTCTGGGTCTCCCACACAGGTGCAGGGTCCCAGGGCTTTGGGCCCTCCTCTACTGCTTTCCCAGGTCACAAGCAGGGAGCTGGATGGGAAGTGGGGCTGCCAGGATTAGGACCGGTGTCCATATGGGATTGTGGTGCACACAAGGCGAGCACTTTTAGCCACTAGGCCACAGCGCTGAGCAATTTAGAAATTTCTTTAAAAATATTTTTGAAATAATAAGTATTTAGAGATCTACCCACTTACTGATATTCATTTTGAAGGTAATATGCTTTTTCTTCAGAATCACAAATAAACAATTTACCCAATCCCAGCTGTAAACAACTGTCTAGGTTGCCTTGTATTAGGCAAGTGTTACACTACTGGGAGAAAAGCAACCAGTAGCTGGCTGGTATTGTGGGCATGGTTAACGCCAAACTAGTGTTAACTACACCATAATGCCAGCAGCAGCATAGATGTTTATTCTTTCCTTTTCCTCTCCTCTCCTCTCCTCTCCTCTCCTCTCCTCTCCTCCCCTCCCCTCCCCTCCCCTCCCCTCCCCTCCCCTCCCCTCCCCTCCCCTCTCCTCTCCTCTCCTCTCCTCTTCTGCTTAAGGGTAATTGGGAAAGGCAGGGAACTCTGGCCAGGACACACCACCCTGCACAAAACCCAGGGCAGGGTAGCAGCACCCACAGGCACATGTGAGATCTGTTTTTGGGGGGAGCTTGTGGAACTCCCCTGTTGGGCTGCAGTTTCCTCTAGTGAGTGTGAGGGCTGGGACTGGGAGCAGGCTAGACCATGCTGGACTGCAGTATCCATTAGCATATGTGTGGGCTGAGTCTGGGGGTAGGCTTGGCAGTATTTGTCCACAGCACACACTGGCATGAGAGAGAGAGCCAGGACAGGGTACAGGCTAGATTGGTTGGATTGCCACACCAACCAGTTCACAGGAGGCTGTAGTATCTGGTGACAAATGCTAAGACCAGGGGCAATCCATCTCAGACTGGGTCATAGCACTTGCTGGCACACATAAGACCCAGGGCTGGGAGCATGCCTGGTAGGGGAACTTC